CGAAACACACGCGAACCGAACCGAGACAGTCGAACCGAACGGTTTGGACGGTTTTCATAAATCGTCCCATCCCCAATATATATATATATATATATATATATATATATATATATATATATATATATATATATATATATATATATATATATATATATATATATATATATATATATATTTATTTATGATTGGAATTATCATACTGTTGATAATGACATTGTTGACAACGTGTTGATTTTTGATAATTTGGCCTATAAGTAAAGAGAAACAGCAAAAGTCTCTGCAAAAGTTGCATGCAATTTACAAGTGCAGGATAATGCAAATTTTTTCTTGCTCTTCCACTCCTTATAAAATGACACAGATATAACTGACTGGTGTCGGCAGGTTCAGCTATTTGTTCAGCCTAAAGCTAGCAGCTTAACAGACACGTTATGAAAAATTATTAGTAAATGAGAGGAATTGGTTGCACTCCACAACTATGGGTGTCATACGTACCAAAAGTTTAAAAAAAAAAATTTCTTTGTTGTAAATGAGAGAAAAGTGAAGGGGACGGATCATTACCTTAATCTATCTATAAACAGCAAACACTGGTCTCTGGTACTTTCTTTGTCACCCCCCTAAAACAGTTAAAATCATAGGAATAGAAATGAAGTAAAACATTTTGACAGCTGCTCTGATCAATGGTGATGTCAATGTTCTTCTTCATCTTTTCACAGTTTTCCTTCCCCATTTTACTTCATGTCTTTCGTCTTCTTCCACTCTAAAATAGAAAAACTGGCTCCACACATGCATGTACAGAAAGCAATCGTTAGCAACGCCTGTAACAGCTGACAGAAACAGCTATTCAGCATCAATCAACAAAAAGTTCTGATAACTGAACAAAAATCAACACTTCTACATTTTATTATACAATAGATCCACATGTACAGTTCTTCTTTTCTTGCACAATTCAATGTGAAAATTGAAATAAAACAATGAAAAAAACACAAAAGATAAAATAGAAGTTCTAAGCTTTTCATGTCACTCAGCACAGCTATACCATCCTGTGATCTAAGTTAATGATTTTGCAACTCATTATAGGATCTAACCTATATTTCGGCCCATGCTGATAGAAATAGAAAATATGTGCTCAGGTACGAGGCGATGCTTCTTTAAAACAAATTAAACTTGAGAGCCTTTTTTTCCTCTGAGACAGAGATAAGTTAAGCTTGTGTTTATATCAATTGTGGTTAGTAGTTCTGCTCATACCAAGATACCAAACAAAGCTGCTGATCAATAAATTAAAATAAATCAGCAATATACACTATATTGCCAAAAGTATTTGCTCACCCATCCAAATTATTGGAATCAGGTGTTCCAATCACTTCCATGGCCACAGGTGTATAAATTCAAGCACCTAGGCATGCAGACTGTTTTTACAAACATTTGTGAAAGAATGGGTCGCTCTCAGGAGCTCAGTGAATTCCAGCGTGGAACTGTGATAGGATGCCACCTGTGCAACAAATCCAGTCGTGAAATTTCCTCGCTCCTAAATATTCCACAGTCAACTGTCAGCTGTATTATAAGAAAATGGAAGTGTTTGGGAACGACAGCAACTCAGCCACGAAGTGGTAGGCCACGTAAACTGACGGAGCGGGGTCAGCGGATGCTGAAGCGCATAGTGCGAAGAGGTCGCCAACTTTCTGCAGAGTCAATCACTACAGACCTCCAAACTTCATGTGGCCTTCAGATTAGCTCAAGAACAGTGCGCAGAGAGCTTCATGGAATGGGTTTCATGGTCGAGCAGCTGCATCCAAGCCATACATCACCAAGTGCAATGCAAAGCGTCGGATGCGGTGGTGTAAAGCACGCCGCCACTGGACTCTAGAGCAGTGGAGACGCGTTCTCTGGAGTGACGAATCGCGCTTCTCCATCTGGCAATCTGATGGACGGGTCTGGGTTTGGCGGTTGCCAGGAGAACGGTACTTGTCTGACTGCATTGTGCCAAGTGTAAAGTTTGGTGGAGGGGGGATTATGGTGTGGGGTTGTTTTTCAGGAGCTGGGCTTGGCCCCTTAGTTCCAGTGAAAGGAACTCTGAATGCTTCAGCATACCAAGACATTTTGGACAATTCCATGCTCCCAACTTTGTGGGAACAGTTTGGAGCTGGCCCCTTCCTCTTCCAACATGACTGTGCACCAGTGCACAAAGCAAGGTCCATAAAGACATGGATGACAGAGTCTGGTGTGGATGAACTTGACTGGCCTGCACAGAGTCCTGACCTCAACCCGATAGAACACCTTTGGGATGAATTAGAGCGGAGACTGAGAGCCAGGCCTTCTCGTCCAACATCAGTGTGCGACCTCACAAATGCGCTTCTGGAAGAATGGTCAAAAATTCCCATAAACACACTCCTAAACCTTGTGGACAGCCTTCCCAGAAGAGTTGAAGCTGTTCTAGCTGCAAAGGGTGGACCGACGTCATATTGAACCCTATGGATTAGGAACGGGATGTCACTTAAGCTCATATGTGAGTCAAGGCAGGTGAGCAAATACTTTTGGCAATATAGTGTATCACAAAATCCTATAAAGCAAAAGAAACAGAAATTCATATTGTAAAGATCCTAAACTCTGACAAGTATTATTATGTCATTATGCTAAATGATAACATTCTTTCTTGTGTTTCACCTCTAGTCAAAAAGGCCAGAGACCTCTTTGCTTATTTTTCTCTTCTTTTTACAAAACACTGAACAAAAAGAATTTGCAGCTGTTCACTTCCTCTTAGAATATGTAAATCAATACCGGAGAGTCATTATTTTTGTTGTATTGGCACAATGCTTTTTCTCAAAGAGCACAAGATTAACTGTATTTTTTGTGGGACTGCTGAAAATTCAGTTGTGGAAAAACTAAAATTTTTGAATCAGCATCATCAAATGTTCATCAGAAAGAGAAGCCCATACAAAAAGCTGCTTGTTTATGTATTTAACACAAACGCTGGCTTTAGGCATTTTGGATAGAAGTTATATCTCTATAAACAAGAAGAATTAACAGTTTATAAATGAATACAGTTTGTTGGTTTAAATAAGAAACCAGAAGATGGTCATTTTGAATTACAGGTGTAAAATCATCTGCCCATTTGACTTAAACCTCTTCTATAGGATGAAATAATGAAAATATTGCTTTAAAACTGCTCTACTATATAAATGTCAGTGGGTTATTTTAACAACTTTAGTTCCAAATACATCACTAGCTTGTACACTTAAGCAAACTTTAGCCATTTAGCTGCTAAGTAATTAGAACAAGCTGACTGGTTTTTTTTACACACTGGTCATTGATTGTCCACATAGTCAATATAAACTATTTTATTCAGGGTTACACACAGAGTATGAATGTCATTATTCAATTTAAAACCCTTTTAGGCATTGTGGGCTATGGGTAAATATGCATTATTATTTTGTAGAATTAAAAACCCCTTTGTATTCACATGCTTTAGCACGCTCAGTTTGTTTTTCTTTATTATAAATTATTTTTAATGTATTGTGAAGCTACATTACTAAAAAATGGTCACATCAACATGTATTTCATTTACATTTTTGTTAAGCAAAAAAAAAAAGCATCTGAATTTTACTTCTTTTTTTTTTGCTACGATCACTCTTTGGGGTAGTTGATTTAAAAACAATTTAAGATTAGGACACTTGATCAGAGATATAGTTTCTCCAGCGTGTCCTGGGCCTTCCAAAAGGCCTCCTCCCAATAGGACATGCCTGGAACACGTCCCGAAGGAGGCGAACCAGGAGGCATCCGGAACAGATGCCCCAGCCACCTCAGCTGGCTACTTTCGACGTGGAGGAGCAAAGACTTGGAGTGGTTAATTTAATGACCAGACGCAGAACAGACTTCATAGACAACCACGTTGAGCTGCAACATCATGACATCATCCACTGATACTCTGTCCACACAACAACGGTTTCTTGTGGAAAACTAAAAGTTTTTGTATCCAACAATGGCATGTGTCCTTTCTAAAAAATGGTCTGATTTGAAAAATTTAGAAAAACTTGTTTCATGATGATTCTGGTCTCTGTTTACATTTTCACAGAAATCTTCTTTAATGGGGAAGCTGTGGCACATCACAGCCTCTGACTGTGTTGGGGGACTCCAATGGTATCCATCTTTTTGTTAAAGAAGCAGGGTTACTTGTAATGCTTAAAATATTGGTAAGAAAAGTATTTTACTAGACCGTAGTGAGGCGAGTTGCCAGGGCAAGTTGCCATAGAGACTGAGTTTAGTATTTAGATGATGTCGCTGAACATCCCTTCTACTTATTTAATTAATTGTATTTCCTATCTAATTTGTTTTAATCTGTAGCATAGAATGACTAGAAATTTATTTTTATTCAATTGGCTATTTGTTTTTTCTTTTTCTATGTTGTTGTTCTCAGAAGAAGAGATTTTTCCTTATGTTTACCAAAGCATGTTGCTACTTCTGACTAACCTCATATAGCTGCATATTGCCAATTTAGGATGGTAAAACTATGATGTGTAATAATGTTTACATTTGTGGGTTTTTTAACGACTTCTTATCAGAGGAGTTCAATCCCTTTAACTAAAATTAACCTTTTGATTGTCAGCACAAGCTAGTGCTAGCTGTATTCATAAAAAAATAATGTTAAGAATGAATGTATCCAGGTAATATTTATACATTGCTGAAGTTTATCATCAAGAAATATTTATTTATAAAGGTTTTGGTAATTTTTCTTCTGTGCTTTTGTGGTTTTAGATGCATTTCCTTTGTTCCCACAAAGACACCCAATGATTTCAACCTAATTAAAATTTTCTACTTATACTTTACTACACTGTTAATTAGGGAGATATCATAACAAGATTTTAACCATTTATCTCCACAAATCTTTGAAAACCTAGACACAGGAAGTATGTGGCTGAAATAGTTTGTATGTACAGTTATGAAAGGGAAGTATGGCCATGCATGGGTTCAAAATAGGGTATGTCTTGAGAAAGAATTGGCTCATATTACAATATTTTTGTTTTTATTTTCAGAAGAATTCAATCTGGGGTCTTTCTGTGAGGAGATGTCATTTTCTTCCTGTGCATATCTAGATTCTGTAATAGTATACAATCTAAAAACATGCATGCTAGAGGAATATATCTTGGTATGTGTGCAATGTGAATGTTTATGTTTGCTGTGAGCTTTCACTAAACCTGTGATGGACTAGTACGGTATAACCAACCTCTTGACGGCTGGACCTAATCTAAGATTATAAAAACCTAATCCCTTACACATGGTCAAACGCATTAATCAACCTTGTGGTTTAAAAATCAACCCAGGCCTTAATCAGTCCATTTTGACTCAGGGAGGGGTTAGCAATATATCTGGAATTGGGCTGTTTCTAACCAGGCTGTTTTGAAGCAGAGACTGTGACATATAAGTACATTAAAAAAATGTGATCTACAAGAAAACAAATTTAAATGAATAAAACAAATCAATACTAAGTCATGACGGAAAATATGGGCCCGTCTACCTTTTAAAGATGGATGCCTCATCAGGCCTAAAGAAAAAAAAGCCTGATTCCAACAAAACTTTGCAAAAAGGCTGCTGTTTCATCACATAAACACATTTTATGGACTATTGTCTTCGCTTTAAATGTCTTTTTGAAATAAATTCAACTTTCAAACTTCCTGAGAAGTCCACTTCAGTGATGTCCAAGTTCCTTCACAGTGAGATTCCACATTGGTGATAAAGTGTTTGTGCTTCTCTGTTAGGATGAACTAAACATCTGCTGGTTCTATGAGAAGTCTCGGTTGCCCTCTCCTCCATAAAGATAATTATTGGTTCCAGCTGGTTGGACGTACTCTTCAGTTTTGTCCCAGTCTGAAACCCAGCCCCCACCTCCTCCGTTGGGATCTGACACCTGGTTTGTGGCTCCATAACCAACTCCACCACTTGTACGATACAGTTCCTCTGTCTCATTTGCAAGCTCGTCTTCATCAAGGATGCCACACTTCTCAACGCTGAGCTCCTCTGGTTCGGCCCAGGCTTGTTTCTCTCCTGAGGCAAAGATCCCTGCATGGGCCGTAGAAATTCAGTCAGTTTATCAATGAATAGGTTTAGTAACAGCCATAAAACTGCTCTGACAAACAGAACATTTTCCCAAATTGATTTCCATACGAATCACTAAAGAATGAAATACACTCACCATAGAATATAACACCTCCATAATGAACGAGCGAGGCAATCAGAAAAACACCCTGCCACTCCTCCCGCGTCTGATTTGAAAAGAAAGGAACATTAACCCAAAACAGAATGTCAGTAAATAAAAATCAACATACTTGGCAGAAATAAGATTCACAGTTTTCAAACTGTGGTTCAAAAGAAAACTGAAGCTTATCTGTTTGCATAATAACTACTCTCTTCAATGTAAATACATGCCGGTTCCTCCTTTGGCCTTGTGTGACCTCTGAAGTTGATAAAGAAAAAATTTCCTTTAGGGGAAGAGACCTTTCTGCTTTGTTATTATTTTCCTGAACAAGCAGTTTAATGTAACTTGCAGATACATATAGAAAGTCAGTTTCTGTTAAACTACACCATACGGTCATGGGTGTTTCTCACTTCTCACTAGTTTATTTTAACCATTGTTCTTACAACAGTAGATCTTCATTGAATTAGAACAATTGGATTCACACAGTTAGGTTTATTGTGGGTTAATTATAGTCCATATATGGTATATATTTTTTATAATAGGCTTGAAGTTCAGCTTCTTTTCAGAAGCTAAGGGTTAGTTTGCTTTTAATATTCCAAATCCTCTTATTGGATCAGAAAAAAACTAAGTGCAAGTTCAACCATCTGACCCAGTTTGTCCGCAACAGATAAAATAAAAACAAAATTGTATGTTTGGGAACAAAAAACAGCAGCACCTAGAGCTGGCATATTCCGGTTAGCAACTGGCATAATCCCATTTCCAACTGGCATAAACCAGTTCCTTAACTTGCGCATACCATTTTTCAAGAATGGCATACCAGAAACCACTTTTGGCTCTGGCTGTCACTCAAAAGAAGGAGTTAAATAGAGTTTTACATTAACATAGATTAGGGGGTTTGTGTGGTTTCTTATCACATATTAAAAGTGGTGTAGTGAAGTATAGAAGATTCCTTTAAATATAGAAACACAACTGAAAGAATAATTATAAGGAACACTGTCTTTTTCAATACTTGATTAAAAAGCAGAACAAAATTCTGCATGAGATTGAGAAATCAGATAAAAGTGCCTTGAGATGACATGTGTTGTGAAGGTGCGCTATAAAAATAAACTGAATTGAATTGAATAGAATCAGTCATTGCAGTACATGACATTCTCCCCTAGGTCAATTTAAAAGTCTATCCTTAACCAATAGCTTGCACTTTTCCTCAAACTACATTTTCTTTTTCTCCCCTTCCTTAGTGTCTTAATGCTTTTCTTATTGTCTGCTCTCCGGGGGTTTCCCAACATCTTGAATATGCTGCAACATTATCTCTGTAGTGCCAAGTATTCAAAGTTAATTTGTTTAACATTCCAGATAGCATTTTAAGAAAAATACAGTTGAAAAATATATGGAGAGTTCAAGTCGAGTGGCTAATCGGACTGGCCATGATATCTGTCACTGCTGAAGTCACTGAAGTGGTCAAAAAAACTTCACATTGTTGAGGCTTTGGGAGTGGATGAGATCAGTCCTGAGTATCTCTGGTCTCTATTTGTTGCCAGGGTGCTGGAGAAGACAGTGCGGCTTTTTGTTGAGCCTCAGCTTCAGAAGCAGCAGTGTGGTTTTTGTCCTGGCTGCGGAACACTAGAAAAGCTCAATAACCTCTGCAGGGTGCCACTGGGTTCAAAAGAATTTGCCCAAGCAGTCCAGATATGTTTTGTGGACCAGCAGAAAACATCTGACCATGTTCCTCGTGGTACCCTGTGGGGGTTAGTCCACGAGTATGAAGTCAGTCCCTCTACCAGTGGAGCAGGAGTTTGGTCCTGGAGTTTTGGTAGAAAACATGGTTCTATAGGCCCCCCTCCTGCCAATAAATATAGCACCATGGAGGTTTTCAGGTGAGTGCAAAGAGGTAGGGATAAAAACCAGCTTCTCCAAGTCCAAGGCCATGGTTCTCAACCGGACAAATGGCTGCTCTAACCCTTTCGGGTTGGAGGAGATTTCCTGCCTCAAGTGGAAGAGTTTAAGTATCTTGGGGTCCTGTTCATGAGTGAGGGTAGAACGGGGAAGTGTGGCTGCAACTGTAATGCGAACACGACACCTTCTGTTGAGGTGAAGAGAGAACTGAGTGAAAAGGCAAAGCTCTTGATTTACTACTCAGTCTAAGTTTCCACCCATATCTGTGGTCGTGACATCTGAATACAGGTAGCTGAAAGGAGCTTCCTCTGCAGAGTGGCTGGGCACGCCCTTAGAGATGGGGTGAGGAGTTTGGCCATCTGGGAGAGGCTTACAGTAAAGCTGCTTCTCCTCCACATCGAGAGGTCAGCTAAGATGGCTCTAAAATCTGCCCCTTGCTGGAGGAGGTGCCTGGAGAGAGGGAAGTCTGGGAGTCTCTGCTGACACTGCTGCTCCCGAGGCCCGAAGCATCAGATAAGGTACGAGTACAGTGAACGTTGCCGTAGCTACAATATATTTAACTGGATTAGTAGCAGGGCTAACATTCAGCCTCTAAAGGGTCCAGAATTAAAAACTCCAGGAAACCAAGCACTGTAAAAGAGAGAAAAGGCCATGTGCAATGGGTTAAGGGATGCTTATCAAAATTATTGAGGGGGTGGAGGTACAGTTTTAACCCCAAAGTTTTTCACTGTGTTTTGATTTTCCACTGTTGAAAAAGATTGATTCAAATGTGTCATTAAAGGCCTAAGATTAATTTAATTTATTAATTCATTTCCATGATAAATGTCTGTAACATTTGACAAGAACTGTAAATTTACAACATCACACAGAAGCATCAGTTCCACAAATCTAAAAAGAACAAATACACACAGATTCCAGATCATCTCTCACCTTATTTTTTGTCATTGCACCAACTATGAGTGGGCAAACCATGCCGGACAGAGTGCCCACACCGTTGGATATACCCATGAGGATACTAGCATATCGAGGTGCAATGTCAAGGTGGTTGACATTGAAACCTTATGAGGAATGAGAAAATTACCATTGTCATGATAAAATTGTGCATAACTCTTGTCTGCAAATGAAAGGCTTAACTGTGCTTTACCTGAAATGGCAAAACCAGAGAACCCAACAGCCAGCACCAGGAACGAGATGGCGACGCCCTTTGTGTGCGAGAAGCCAACCACCAGCAGGAGGGTGGCCTCCATCCCAAACCCTGAAAGAGACCAGAAAACAGAGTCAAACAACAGCAAGCCTAAATGCAGACTGTTCTCTTAAATGAAAAAACTATTTTCTTTGCTTATAATGTTGCTTCAATGTTGACTGGAGTTTTTTTCTTATTTTTCTACTTGGCATGCATGTACTGAATGTTTCCTCATTTGACCCTTGTATCAACACTTTTCTGCAGCTTAAAAATAGCCGATAGAGGCAGAGCTCCTGACTAACACTTAGTCATCATTCATCTCATGCATGCAGTGGTGTTTTCACACCAGGGCTCACACAAATTTGCTCTGTAATTAGACTGATTCTTTTTACGGAAGGGTGTCTTTTGAAAATTCACTGAGTAATGAAACTCATCCAAGGCCAAGTCAAAGCAGGGTAATAAAAGTTCCTGAAAGCCTTTAAGTAAAACAACCTTGTTTCAAATTAAAAAAATTGGAGTTTGCCAGTTTAGAATCAAAATTTTAAAATTCATATCCAAAAAACGCATCTTTTGATTTCGCATAAGCTCATTCTCCTTCTATTTCACACTTACCTCCACAGTTCATCATCTTTCTGACATTTGTGGTCGTCATGATCTGATTAGAACGCAGATAATCAGCGATTTGGCCTCCAATAGGCACAATGATGGTCATTACCAGATGAGGAAGCGCAGATAGTATTCCCACCTAAATGCACGTGAGAATATGGACCCATCATTGCTAATAAACAACAACCGTTATCACCTCCTTATAAGAACATTTGAAGGAAAACAGACAGTGAACAAAGCGATAGCAGATTTTATGCCTTTAAAAGTTTTCATACCCTCTGATTTTTCTTTCAGATTCTAAATCAACACCACTCTATTTTATTTAGATTTTATGTGCCAGATCAACCAAAAGTTTTCCATAATCGTAAAAAGAAGAAAGAAAAAGTTTTTTTTTATGATTTTTGTTTTGTTTTTTGCAAAGGCCTTAGAGATTATCTGCAGAACTTTAGAGATCTAGGGTCATGAAAACCAAGGAACACTAGAGACATGTCAGGTAACACTCAGTGGAGATGCAGGGTTAGGTGAAAACATGGATAGAGGATGGGCCAACTGCATACCTTCCAAGAAATGGATGTGCAACTAAGCTAAGAGGCTGGACAAGAAGAGCATTAATCAGATAATTGACTCTCTCTGGAGGAGCTGCAAATGTCTACAACTCAGGTTAAGGAGTTTATTGATATAACTTCTATGTGTGCTCTCAAATTCGGCTCACTGAAAAGTGGCAGGAAGAAAGCCACAGAGTCGTGGTTTTCAGTTTGCCACAAGCCATGTAGAGGTCTCATAAACCTCTGAAAGAGTTTAGTTTTATTTTCTTTTAGTTTTTTTTTTTTTTATATACCATGATAAATGTACTCCATTTCTATGAAGTGTTGGTATGTCACATAAAATTCAGCATAATACATTTAAATGTGTGGTTGAAACGTGATTCAACGTGCAGAGAGGTTTTAGCGGTATGAATACCTTAGCAAGGCAATGTGCATTGAAGGTGAATTACCTTGCTTATTTCAAACCCAAACACTTCCTCAAAGTATGCAGGCTGGCTGATGAGAAGCAAATAGAAAGTCCAGCTTCTGCAAAAATTAGCAACAATGATGGCGTACACTGGCATAGAGGTGAAGAAGGCTCTCCATGGTGTGTTAAACTTCTGCAAAACAAACAGCGGGGGTTTACAACTTTAGTTATTTTAATTTGCATAAATAAAAACATTGACTATAATCAGATGTGAATATTATAATAAGGGGAGGAAAAAAACAACAAAAACTAGAATGGTGATCAGTTGGAGGGTGCGGTAGTGGAAACTTTTTTTGGTTGAATGCAGCCATCAGAGGTGACCACAGATAGAGTTTCTAAATCTGTTGACAGCAAAGTTTTTGTGTTTAACTGACTCACCATGTCCATCTGCTTTTTTTTTTTTTATATCATACAGTCATAGTGTCCAAATAAACTTTTCTAATTACTGTGAGATATTTTATTTAAAGCTTCTGGATTGCCATCTAATTAATCATTGCATCTGCACCTCCACTGACCGTTACTGTATGCTGAGCTGACTCGCCGATGCTCTCCTCTATATAGATCCTCTCCTCTTCTGTGATGGTGGGGTGAGCCGCAGGACTCTCGTACGAAACCAGGACCCAGAAGCAGTACCACATCACACCAAAACTTCCTGGAAGGAGAAGAAAAGACAGTCGCTGTGAAAACTGAACGTGGAAAAAAAGTTAAAAGAAAGCAATCAGTGTAGGTATGTGTTTTCTCTCTTGAGGAATTTACATTTGAACTCAGGGGTCCAAAGATTTTTCCGTTTAATATTTATGAAAAAAGACAAAAGAATAATGCAGATTTTTTTTTTTTAAGTACTTACTTACTGTATTGCATACTGAATACCAAAAGTTAATTATGCGTATACCAACATTTACAGACAGGAAAGGCTGTGGTTTTCCTGTCCGTTTAGTTTCACAGTGCATGAGCCATTTTACTTTGCAGCCTGCATGGTGCTAAACTGTTTCCTGAAATGAGGCCTTCATTTTACTTTCTGTAAACACATATATATATATATATTTATTTGAATTAGGACAATGCACATGCCAGAATTAGCTCAGCAGCTAATTTGCATCCACTGTCCTAAGGCAGGTAAAAACAATGAACATTACAGGGCTGCCAACTTTTCACCAAACCTTGGGGTGAGATTTTGAAATAGTTTGGACAGAAAATCCTGTCAGGGTTTTCAGAGAATTTAATTGAATCAAATTGGCAAAATGTGGAATTTTTATAGTACAGTAATTGTTACTGAGTAACAATAAGTGATCTGTAGTTAACATTTTTTTCACAATATACATTATTTTCTACATTCTGGTGATTTTTAGAGAATTGAAGTAAAGCAGAATGAGCCCTACTTAAATACTTGCATCTTAAATATATTTTAAGAATTTCAAAACTGTGCTCATTAATTATTCTATCTAGTTCATGTAAATTAAACAAAGGGGAACTAATAAGCTATTACTGGATTACTGGCCCTGATACAGGAACCGGTGCAATAGAAACCTATGCAAACTACACTGTGTATGAATATTTGGTAATAGGCTAAGGGTTAAAAAGCTTCAATCATTATGTTATTAGTTACAATCAATGTTACAATTGACAAAATGGCTAAACAATTCAGACCTTCTCGGAGGCTTTAGATTTTATAAAAATTCACTGCGACAGGAGGCAGCACTTCTCTGGATGTTTCATTTGAAAAGTGTGATGGAAATTAAGTTTTTAAGCAAATTCAATGGACCAAAATAAAGATAAATGAATAAGATCAGTAATAATAAAAGAATAACATTCCTGTGGTTTCTCCTCTGTGAATCCAGGATAACTGAGCTGTTCTGCACATCCTCTCTAAATGCGATTGGTCTTTTCTTGGGTGGCTGATCTTTTGAAAAATAAAATGCAATGGTTCTTTTTCTTTTTGTGGAGCTCCTATGGGTTTGAGAGGCAAACCTGGAAGCTTTAAGAATTAAAATATTTGTGTTGGTTTAATTACTCCTAAATGCCAATGGTAGATATTAAACTAGACTGAGCAATAATTATTTAACATGGACTAAAACTGGGACTAAAAAAAAACACGAGGTAAAGAGAAAACAAACCATTGGATCTGATCCTACACTCAGTCTCCACATCAATAACTTCAGCTAGCTGCTTTATTTTTTATTCATATTTACTCAAGTACTAGATTACTTAAAATTTTCAATAAATCACAAAGATAATTATCCTAGCCCAGATGATATAAGATAAAAATTAAAATGAAATACCTCATAACAACTGTCTTTTTTCAATATCTAGCACAGTGAATAGGTGGGAATACGGACTGAATATGAACCTCACAATCCTTATGTGTTAGCACTAAGGTTGTATTAAAAACACGAACTGGATTTTGATCAGAATGGTATTTTTATACATAAATCAGTGGAACAGAGTTGAGTTTCAATGTCTGTAATTTTTTAGTGTGAGAAATTGGGAATATGGAGTGAGAGCGTGTGAAGACTCTGGGATGGGTGCGTCTCACTCCCAATAGGTGAGAGTTGACAGCCCTGACATTAAACAAGACACTACGGCAGAGAACAGAGTGGACACAAACAGATAAGATGCCAATAACATGAAATCAAAATAATATTAGTTTAACGGCCCAAGGAAACAGATCAATTCACCTTTAAACACATGTCTGGTGAGTTTCAACCAATGTTTCAGGGAGATTTTAAAATGCATGTAGGTTTCACAGCCCCTAACATGAGCTGGCAGTGTAAAGGTCAAAAGGTCTTTTACCGTAGACGTAGAAGACTGAAGACCATCCTGAGTACTGGACAAGTATTCCAGCTAAAGGCATGGCAATCACAGCACCTGCATAAGAGCCTGGGAGAGAAGAAACAGGTGTTTTAATTTGGATTTTAATTATTGATTTAGAATCTGTAAAAGTCCATATATACATAAAGTTCTTGTTTAGGTTTTAAAAGCGTCAGGCAACAGCTAGCTCTCACATGTGGTTATGGTATTATAAAAACACCTGTTCCTTTTTTTGCTGTTGATTTTTTTTTTGGTTGCAGTCAGAAGAAGTGGTCTGATCTCTAGCTGTGGCCTTATTAGGTAATGATTTTAAACTCACCACAGAAGGCAGTTGTGGCCAAGCGACTTCTCTCCAGAGGAGGAGCCCATTTTGCCCAAATACCATGACAAGCCGGATATGAAACGCCCTGCAAGATAAGGTTGGTACGGTTAGCTTTATGCCTAAAAATATATAAAGAACTTTGTTAAAGTATTCACACCTCTTAGATAATTTCACATCCTGTCAATTTAAACCAAAGTCATAGACATTATATGTTGTTCACTGTAAGTGACAGAAAACGCCAAAGTTTTATATTATCAGGAGGTTGAGAGAAAAGTGTGCATAGTTTGCTTAGTTGAAAAACATAAAATAGCTATGCATTATATTCAGCTTTGCTGAGTCATTGTTCACAACAAAATTTTGTGAGGATGTCAGCGGCAGATTCTTTGTTCTAATTGATGAACAGCAAGGACACATATAAACCGAAAACTCCCCGTTTTAGGTGCATCTGTCTTAATAATCCTTAGATTTAAGATCAGCAATTCATTATATCTCACTGACTGTAGTTCTGGATTTTCGCTATACCACTCTGAAAGATGTTTTTGCTTTAAACTATCCATTGTATCTCAGGTTGGATGTTTGGGGGGGTTGTCCTGCTGGAAGATCAACCTCCACACATGTCTATTCTTCTGCAACATTTTATAGATTTTCTGCCAGGATTGTCCTTTTATTTAGCTCCATCAATACTAGGATTATCAGTTCCTCTCAAAAACATCTTGAATCACTGTGGAGATTCAAGATGTTTTTGTCACTAATGTGCAAATCTATATTTATATTTTTTTTAAACTAATTGTATTCACAAAAAAAGAAAGGCCATAAAGCTATTTTAATTAACTATTTTGTGAAAGGGAAAAAAACACTGATATTAGCTGAGGTTTCTGCTGGACTCTCTTTACTGATTAGTGATTGAGCTAAATGTTATGCAGGGAGTTTCAGAGTAATTAAACATTTTCAGGTTTTCATTTCTAAAATATTTTGAATTTTTCAGATACACAAATAGGCTGAGGAACAATTTTAATACATTGTCAAAGGAATATATTTTCCAAGAGAGCCAAAACACTACAGCCTTGCTTCTTTTCAATGTTCTCCTGCTAATGTGAAGCTATATTAATGCACAGCTGTCATATCTTACTTTTAAGTCTATCATTAAAGTTTTGTAGTTGTGATGATTAAATATAATAAAGTTTAAGATGATTGATACTTTTCCAGTGCAGCCATTTTCCAGCATTTAAGAAGACTCATGTACCTCCACCAGTCCTTGAAATATCCTGACAATGATCACGCAGCCAAAGTGCATTCGTGCTGCTGTAGGGATGAGCATATTCAGGCATGACGTGGCAACAATAGCAAAGCCAAAAACTCTGCAAGAGACACAGAGCAGAGGAAGGTTACTTTAGAAACACCTGGATCACTCTTAGAAGACAATAATTAGGGAGGATAAACAGACCTGTTTGCTGCAAACTTTTGACAAATGAACCCTCCAGGGATTTGGGTTACTATGTATCCCCAGAAGAAGGAGCCATGGATCATCCCCACTGTCTCTGGATCCCAGTTGAACTGGGCTTTCTATGGGAATAGAAACAAAACTCATTCAGCTTATATTTATATCTTTATCTCTTCCTGTCAAGCACAAAAGAATAAGTGTCATGAAGCTTATCCTCCCAGTGCTGGATCTCAGGTGGACTGATATTAGCAGCAGCCCAATAAAAGAAATGGCCCAACAGTGACACCTACTGTACATGTAACAGTACTTCATGCAATTTAATCTATTTCCAAGTTTTAATACCACCCATGTTATTCATAACATGGGTGGTAATTTCATTAACTTTTATGCTGATCAGTAGTTCATCAAATTCCTCTTATCTTTTCCCTCTCTAGGGGAAAGTTTCTTCCCCACTGCCATTAGACTTGTGTATGTTGTGTAAAATGAGTTATTTAATTTATTTAAAAAATATATATAAAAAAAATATTAGAACTGTAAATATACAGTCATATATTTATATTACTTTTTTATGTATTTATTACTGTTTTCAAGGCTGCACTTTTAAAAAATGAAATTGCCTAGAGCTGTTTTAAACGAAATGTCTTTTCGTATACAATCGTGTATACTGTATACAAAATGACAAAATAAATTTGTCTATGTCTATGTCTGTGAAATATGTGGGTCAATCTTTCATCTTGACTACACTATGTGTGTCATTATTTAACGGTCATTTTCACATGCAAAAACTTGGTCTCAATAAAGGTAATATTCTGAATTTAAATCTAGCAGTCAAATTTTTAGCTTGTTTGTTTTTATGTAACGTATTACTAAGGGCTAAGACAAGGATACAGAATTCAAACAAACTTATATGTGAAAGTCTAACAACTTAAACTATAAATATTATTTAAAAGAAACAATTAACACCTTTTTTGGTTTATATGACCGGGCCTGGACATATAAATTCAAAGGCTGTTATTACTACTATCAGTTGAATTTCCCATAACTAATTTGACAGCAAAAGCACAACGATCACTGTAAAAGTCACATTTTTCCATTCAATAAAGATCTCTACTTTTGCTGGATTTATTAGTGCAGATGTTTTTGTGTTGTCTCAACAAAAAAGCTTCAAATAGAGTGAAGCATATTTAACATTAAAGGCAGTGATTTTATTGAAATATGTGCAACATGTTATCATCTTTCTACTCACTGTTACTGATGCATCCTTTTTTTCTGTTTTTCCTTTCCTGTTCTACCTACATTGCAGTGTCCATATAATCTGTAAAACTCCCTGCATAATTATAATAAAGCAATTTATATGCATTAATCAAGCGGAACACTATGGCGATAGCCGTACTGCTCCTCTTGTGAAAGTAAAATCTGTTGGGCTCTTTTTGGCATCAAGACAATTATCCTTATTGACACATTGCCAGACAGGACACTGTTAAAAAAATAAAAAACAAAAAAATAAACAGACATCACAGACTCACTAATTAGGTGAAGGTGAAATGGCACCAAAAAAAAAAAAAAACAGGTCAGTAGTTCAAAATCAATTGAAACTTCAAACGTGACAAAATCTAATCAAATATTTTTTTTATTCCTTCATGCTAATAATTTAACCTAAAAAAAAATTTAAAAAGAAAAAAGAAACATGGGTAAGATTGAATGTCTGCTCTCTGCTTTTCATGTTAAAGCTGGTGTTAGAACTGCTGCTCAGCTAGTTGATACAGGACTTCGAAAAAGTGATAGATCGCAGTTTTCTGTGTATTTCCTGATTTTTACCTTGTGAAGATCTTTTGACTACATAATTAACCTAAAGGGGAACCTTCAGTTTTTAGCAGATCAACATTAATCCCTTGGGTGTCTGGAGACCAAAATGATCTGCAGGAAGTATTCAGCAATAATCTTCCCTATTAAAAGACAAAACAATGATCCTTAACAAGCGAAAAGTTATTTAATGTTTTGAGGATAAACAAGACGGAGCACTGTGATGAATTCCTTGTTGTTTTGTGTCGGGATCACTTACCACTACGACCTCCTTGTTGTCCCTGAAGATGGTGTGGCTGTTGACCATGCTGACAATGGCTACACCCAGGTTGCACCTGATTCCAAAGGAGATGCAGAAGCCAATACCAGAGAGGATGGCGATGATGTAGCGCCTGGGCAGGCCGAAGCACGTGCAGTCCACCACCGGCATCTCCTTCTCCTGCACCAGCTCAGGCCGACCCTCAGCCGACAGCTCAATGGTTTCACCATTTTCCTGTTTCTTTTCTAGTGCCCTGCAATAAGGAGTTCAGAAAGATCTTTCCCATATATGATCATATGATGTTACTTTATACATACCTGCAACACATACCTCTTCAACACATTTAATTTATTACATAAAATACCCCTGCTTTAACAATAGCTTAGCTGTCATAACAGATTCTGTGCTGAATATCTGTTAGAAAGTCTGAAGTTTTCCAAACTTTCTGATGAAGTGCTTGTCTGCTTATTCTTTCTGGGGAAGAAATCATCTGGATCTCGATGCCTGACGGTTTCTTTGGCTGTCAGTTTGAGACGCAGTTTCAAGCCCTAAGAAGGGAAGCTCAGTGCAGGCATCTGTTAGCCTTCCTCACAGAAGACTGTCGAAGAGGCTTTTCCTCAAGCTTGTAATAAGTATTAGTGTTTTTTGTTTGCACACATTTATCCCCCGAAAGAACTGACTGACAGCAAGGGGAAAGGTGCGGTTAACCCTACAGAGCTTACATCGTATGCTCCTCTTCTTCTTCGTGTTCCCTGTGAAGCTCTGACCTTTGTCTCCTGTCTAACAAGCATCAAATATGTATCCAAAGAGGCGTAAATTAAAGATGACATGAGAAACTCTGAGCTCTCAGAGCTGACTCAGACCCTCTAGGTCTATTTGATGAAGAGCAGAAACCTTTCCTTCTCAATGCCTTATGGTACCAAATACGTGTGGATCCAAGGGTGAGAGTACAGTGGCATGAAAAAATATTTGCCCCTTACAGTTTTTTCTCTCTATCCTTTTGCTTTTTGCTGGACTCAAATGTTTCAGATCATCACAGACAAAAGAAATTTTTTATTTTAACTTAACATCAAGGCTTTGACTAGAACACTCAAGGGCACTAATTTGTTTTGTTTTTTCTGAACCATTTAGAGCCAGATTGGCTGGTGAACCTTGGGTCTTTGTTCTGCTGTAGAACCCAAGAGAGCTTAAAGGCACATTATGATGTTTGGAGGATCTTCAACTAAAGCACAGCAACTAGGTCCTGAAGTGGAAAATCAAACCCAGTTAATATTTGCCTTTAAGCTGACAAATTAGAGAAATTTTAGAACGTTGTATTTATTTTAAAAATAAATAGAAACATAGGTATATCCAAACATCCCAAGTTCCAAAATCTAATTTCAGGGAGATGCCTATACTTCCCCCCCACTTCCCAAAAAAATAAAATAAAATAAAAAATTAATGACTATATGCACTGGAACAGACATGGTTACTGATTGGTCCTTTGGATCTATTTAATTATTTTTCTTTTCAAATTCTGTTTTGCTAATTATTCAAAAATAATAAGGTGATAGCTTTAGTGGTATTGAGATAGGATCCCAGTTTTTATCTGCTAAATGTTTTTGTTTTTTTATTCACAAAAATTTTTTTAAAATAATAAAATTTTTACAGATGAATTTAACAGTTTTTCTTGAGTTTTAATTCAAATTATATAGAAAACTGTAGTTTTAACTTAAATTAAGTCAAAAATATGTAAAATTCCCAAATTATAAAAGTATATTGAACTCATAAGAAATATAATTTTTATTGAACCTAATTGATTTGTGCAGCTCTCTTGACATATATTTGAATCCCTTGCCCTGTTTTTTATTTCATGCTTTTCTGTTCCCCCATTAAAACACGCTGACCCCCTCCTGGCCCCCTGGTATATTTGGTCTAGATCCGCCACTGTTCCTCACCTTCACTAGACGTGGAAATACTTTAGTATATTCTGCTGTAAAATTAGTCCTATATTTTCGTTTTTTACTCGAGGATTCAACCTCTGCCGTTTGACAGGATGCACAGCTTTGAGTGTTAACTAGGTGACTGCCAGAGAGTAACCCCAAACTTTTCTGACTAATCCAATCAGCCGCCTTGAACACCGGTTGAACAGAGCATCGCTTTGGACAGATACGCTGCACAGGATTCACCAGCAACCTACACCCCACACTACTGCGCAATCGCAGTAGTTCTAATGCGCACATGATGCATGAATTATTGCACTGCCTGCACACTCTCACTCGCATTAAAAAAATACCACCTTGCAAAGTCTAAAATCGGGATAATTTATCCGACTCACGGGCATCTGTGAACAACTATCTATATCAGGGAGACTCACAGAACTTCCTGGAGACTTGGGATGTCTGTATATAACAAATTTGTGAAAGCATTTCTAACAATCAATGATTAACATACACTAGGAGGGATCAGTTGTAACGGAAATAAGAGCTTGCAAAAATGTCCTAGGCCCCCACTGAATGTGTAAAAACTGGCACTGGGGAAATGCACATGGTATCTTGGCTGTGTACATACATTGAAGGGTTTGTTGCATAATATTTGCAAAACTGGGCGTCAAGGGGTTAAAATAACAATACATCAGTTGAAGACTAAACACACCTCTGTGAAGCCGTCTACATGAAGGAACAACAGACTTTACTTCCTAAGGAAGCTTAGGACCGTTGGCGTTTGCAGCAAGATGCTACATATCTTTTATAAGTCTGTTGTGCAGAGGGTGATCTCTTCCTCCATCATATGCTGGGAGAGTAGCATCTGAGTAAATGGCTTTAAAAAACTTAACAAGCTGATAAAGAAGGCTGCTTTGTTCTGGGAACTGCTCTTGAACCTCTGGAGATTATTTTACAAAGAAGAATTCTTCATAAAATTAAGAAGATTATGGACAGTGAGCATTCTCTTCAAAAGATTTTTAAACAAGGACAGTGTCTTCAGTCAGAGGCCTCTCCAGATCTGGAGCAAGACAGACTGCTACAGTAGATCGTTATTGCCATAGCTATAAACACCTACAACAACTCGATAAATCAATTTTCCTGAACAGAGCATAGGAACTAAATGCTGCTTCTTGGTGTTCTTTCTTTGATCATACCTACACCATGATTGACTGTTGGTAGGATGTGATGCTTCGGAAATGCTTTGTTGCTTTAAACCTGACCATGTTACAGCCTTCCCTTACCTCCTGGATGATAAGAAATAAGATCCTTTGTACTTTTCATAAGTACACCAAGAGTAATTCTATGAGTTGCCATCTCAAGTTAGGATTATTATCTGTAGACCTTACTCCATGATTTATTTTGATTAATTGTCTTTGAGTATTTAGCAATTTATACTTATTTTTCCTGTTTTTTTGTTGTTGTTTTTTTGTGTGTCAACACCTTTCTGCTTCCTATATTTGTGTTTCCAATATATTTTGTCAAGCAGCCAATTTTTCTCCAATTTCTTCAGTTGAGCTTCAGTTCCTTGCCTTCCCTGTCTCTCATCAACCCCCTACTCCTAGGTCAGTAATCATCCTCGCCAGCTTTAATCTCCCTCAGTTATTGCTGCCACCAACCTGCGTCCTCATGTTCTTCCTTTGATTTATAGTTTGGGATTTTCCCTGAAGTCTAGTTTTTGATTTTCCACATCTTTGGTAAAAACTGTTTGTTTTCCATCCTCCCACCTCCTGTTTCCTCTCTGCATGTGGTTCCTCCACTTCAAAATTCATGACAACCCGTAAAATTCAGCACCAGATATCTTGTCATCAGTTATATATCTCTGGTGTGCCTTTGTGGGCAGAAATATATATATATATATATATATATATATATATATATATATATATATATATATATATATATATATATATATATATATATATATATATATATATATATATATATATATATATATATATATATATATATATATATATATATATATATAAAAAATGTTTTACCGAATATGAATAATTTATTTCTGCATTAAATAAGTTGTTCAATGTTATGTATTGCTGATATAAGTTGCAGAAGATCACCTGTTTATTATAAGAGAAGCTAATAATGATATCATAAGACCTGCCTTAGGTTAGGACTTAAAGTCCTATAAGAAACTGAGATAAACTGAAGAACACTTGATTTATTTTGGTATTGACAATTAAATATGCAAAATATGTTTAATATAATCATGATCTCACAAAAGCTTTTTTTTTAAAGCGTTTGATGTTTTTTTTTTAGAATATGTTCTTCCTTTGGAACCATAAAAATGATGCTATTGTAAACATCTGATGCTACAAAAATACTGCAGCAGACCTTTTAAATAAAGCCTAACCCATATAACAGGGAGAGGTAACAGTCATGCAGTAATAAAACATAGCTTCTTTAAATATCCTCAAAGGTTGCAAGAATCTCCAGCAGTGATGAAGTATTGATGATTCTCAAAGTTAAATTATTAATAGCCTATCTCTGGCTCGGCCAGTCTATTTTTGTCTGGGCGGATCCCTCTTCCTCCTTCCTGTCTCCTCCTCATCTTCTCTTGGCATTTACCTCCAGTTTCTCTGACTCTAAACAATTCCCAGCATTAACTAATCTTTAACAGTCAGCTGTTGATCAATATCCATACCTGAAAAGTCCTTTCATTTATTTAACATTTGCTGTCTCTTACTAGAGGTTTGTTTGTTTTTTTTAAACACTATTAATTTGCAATATACTTAATATATTTGATAGATCTTTTTAGGTAGATACTTTAAGGTTGTATTTGTTTTTACATCTTTATCATAATATCTACGATGCAGTAACCACTGGGAAGCACTTTGGCTTTTGTTTTTCAAAATATAACAGAATTGAATGAATTCCAACATCAGTGTTATGGGATAAAAAAATAGCTTTATAAATGAAAAGAAAACAAAAAGGGTAACCTTCCTATTTGCACTAAGACCCCCTGAGGCAGAACTTTTTAAGACCACCTTATGCTGCAGATATTTGGGGTTTGTCTATAGCAGATTTGATCATCGATGGATTCATCTTCTTGTTTCTAAAAGCAGCGAAAGCAAGACTAGAGTTTCTGTTCACCACAGTTTTTTTTGTCTTCCAAAAGAATCTCAGCTAGATTTATGTCTGGACTTTGACTAGGCCCATCTTACATGTGGATGTGCTTTGAGCTAGGCTACCATTATATCCCTGGCTTTATGTTAGTTTTGGTCTCTTCTGAACCAGATCATGCTCTCCAACATCTTTACTTTTCTTATGATTTTATTTTAAAAATGACTTTCCTCTAACTACTCACCTCTCATAAAGGCCAGATTTGATGGGACATGACTATAAGTCGTCCTGAATCAGGTGACTTAGAGAATAGATCGGTCAAAGCTCTGTGAGATATCCAAACCATAGGATATTGTTTTAGATCTCATCACTCGTCTAGACTTATTTAGAACATTCTCCCTGACCGTTCTGCGGGTTCCTTGGTTGTAATGTCACCAGTTATTCTAAAATCCCCTCTAAAGTACACAAATGTACTTTTGTTATTATTATTTCTTTCGTTTTAGATTTGTATTTGTACCAAACATCAAGAAAAAAATATTGCAATTAATTTCAAATATATATTTTTTTTATCCTAAAGTTAAATTAGAATGTCGTTTTTTTTATTTTTTTTATTCATGTTTTTACATAATTCATTAATTAACTGAAAAGCAATTTTATTTATATTAATGAATTATCCAGTATAAAACCTGAAATAAATAACAGAGCAGTTTGTGGTTGAAATGTAAAAATAAACATAAAGAAGTATATATCAACATAGTCGTTGGTATTAAGCATATCTGTAGCAGTGACTTTTCATGGCTAAACCTTCATTCAGGAAAATCTGTTGTAATCCCTGAAAGCCATCTGACCTTCTCCTGGTTGTCACACCTGAAGAGAAGAGTCTCATCTGAGCAGTTCTGCTGTTTAACCCAAACCAGAAACAGGAATCACTTTAGGTGGTGATAAAGCCTGTGGAAGTTAAACCCCTTCTGCTCTGCAGACGTCAACAGTGGGATCTCTTCTACTTTTCTGGGGTTATTCATACATCAAGGTCATATGTCAATGCCATCTAGCTGAATTATTCAGAGTTGATATATCTGTTTGGAATCATCGAATGGACAAACGGGGATCAAATAATGTTGGACGATTAATTTAGATGATAAAAAGACACCAGAAGGGGCCATCTTTACCAATCAGGACTATCTTCCTTTCTGAACTTCTTAAGAGGTGAAGAGAACAAGGACTGTCCGGTGCACACAGCAGTCAAAGGAGGCACCCCAGAGCACGTGCCCTGGGCGGAAACCACAGCTTACAGCCTTCTGCCTTTTAGTCCACTGGACTAATCCCGGTAGTTAGATGTCCTGTGGTGGGAGGGGATATTGGTGACGTGTTACCAGGACTACTTATGGGGAGAGGCAGAGATAGGTCCAGGTGTACATCCTGCAGGGATTTACGCAGGCCGACAGCTTGAAAAGGAGAGGCTATTTCTAGAGAGGATTTAAGTGTTTGAGACGCTGCATCAAATCCCGAGAGAGAGAAAGGGGAGTCCATAGCCGGTCTGCTCTCAGGTTCCTGAAAATGCTCCAGACTTTGGTCTGAATCCATATTTCTGCATCATGTTGCACTTTTCAGAGCCAACTGGTAGTACACTTAACAAAAGGTTTCTCTGAGATCTTACTGCTTATCAGTACAATCCAATTTATGCTTTAGTTAAGTAATATCTTATAAGGTACTCGGCAGCACAGTTCATTAAGTTCATTTATTGTTACAAACCTAAACATGCTCTAACTCTAAGCTTGTATAATAACGGTCTGCAGGTTTTATCTCTGAAATGATCGAACCAGCAGATGAGCCTCCATGTTTAACAGACAAGCAGGCCTCTGTAGCTTGATGGTATAAAAGGGCAGCAGAAATTGATCCATCAATCGATATGATGTTTCATCTTTCACTGAAAGGACACCTTCTGCCTGTAATGAAACTAGACTCTGTTCCTGGACCCCGGGATGAAGGAGAGGCTGATTTTACCTCCTACTGGTGGAAAATACACATAAAAGCTCATGAATTATAAAAGATACAAGGCTTAAAAACTTATGGTGCCATATGTTCTGAGGGTGCATAAATGAAGATGTGGCAGATTATCCAGAGCTAAGGACATCCTGATCTTCTGTTCTGCTCTTATCTTGTCAGGACAATGAATTGAATTACTTATATTAACATCTAAGCAGAATTTGGAGTTGCTTTGGACGCAAAATATCTTTAATTTAGAGCAGCACAGATTTGATAAAAGAAGAAAAGTCATGATTTAAAACTTAAATGTTGCATATCTGGTGGGAAAATATATCATGCTCACTGTAGCTGTTTGTTAATATATCATTTTGCTTTTCACCTCACTGCTACCTCCTCTTTTATAAAACTTTCAACGCTAAATAACTAAACATTATATCAAGAGCAGCTGAAACAAGCTTCTATTACAAGTGGGATTATTTTAATCTGTGTTATAGATCCACTATCACCTCTGCTAAATCCAAAACACTTTTCAGAACCAATACAGAAAAAAAAAGATTAAAATTTGCCTAAAATTAACAAAATTACAACCCAAAAATAAAGGAATTGGCACATCAGTAAAGTACAAAACAAGATTTGTTTTTTGTAATTTGTAATTTGTTTTGTGATTTGTAATTATAGTGAGATGAAAATCAGCTGCTTTTCATGACTGCTGGGAAATATGGGCTAAAATGAAGGGGACTCCCAGATAATACCCTGCCCAGACCCGCTATCTCCTCAGGCCGGCCCTGCGTACCGGCACCAGATAAAGATTACCTATGTTTTCATTATAGCGTGGATCAGTTCACCTTTCAGAGGCTTCACCTACCCGTATATCTTCCCCAGAGTCTTAGCTGCCACAGCTTTGAACCTGTCCGGCCGGATCTCCATCCTGACGGCTCCGGGTCCGAGCGCACAGCCTCTTCTCCTTCGTGCGGCTCAGTCACATAAATAAAAAAAATATATTATTAATTGGTCATCAGCTTCGTTTAGTTAAAAGTTCCCAGGATTGTAGCTTGGAGAACTAGTTGTCCCGGCGTTTACAGGTTTCTTCTGGTTCCTTTAAAAATCAAAAACATTTTTTTAGATCCACTCCTCCTCCGGGAATCTGGACGAACTTCTTTAAATCCCGCTCGGGTTCGTAGAGGTTCGCTGAAAAAAGCACAGCGGGGCAACTTTAGTGAGGATTCATGGGTAAAAGGGTGTCTCTGGCCGTGGTCCTGAACAGGATTACAGCTGGCCGCGCGCTAATCTCCCAGAGTGTGTAGTGGAGGAGAGCATGTCACTTCCTTCCGAGCAGACTGGCTTGTTTCAGGCTATTCTGGGAGTGAATGGAGGGAGTTGGAGTAAACAGTCCGAGGGAAGCAGAATTCACAGGACAAGAATGGAAGAAGGTCCTTCAGGACGCACTGATGGCGGCGCTTTTTAGGAGACCAGAACAAACTTTAAATGGTCCATAAACGCACAAGGTCACACTATAAAGAGGGTGCCCAGAATAACAGTTAAAAATGCATTTTGTTTAAAATATAGAATAAAACAAATATATTCATTTTCAATATACACATTCTTTTTAAATATTAGGAGCTTAATTGTTTTATATGTACTTTTAATTCTTTAGTTGGATTTTTAATACTAATAAAATAAAACAATTTATAAGATTTGAAACATGTATGAAATATATAAACCCCCAAAGTATTTATTTTAAGGAACATTTATTTATTTAGAGCTGAATATATTTTGAAATAAAAATAGATGGTGTTATTTCACTCTATATTTATTTATTAATATGGAGTTAACTCTGTAATGCCAAATGTATCATATTTGATACCTTTTGCATAATTTAATGGTAAAAACTTTTCTCAAAATCCTATTGTACACAATCAGATATATCTGATAACAGAGGGCAGAAGACTACACAAAAAATAATCTTGACTTATTGCATAGTAATAAATTATTAATATCAAAAATGTTTTTCTGTTTTTTCTTTTTACACATTTTGTTAAAAGGCCAAATAAGGACTTCAAACCAAAAAAAAGTAATTTTCTGTTTTGTTTTATTCTTGGATCGGGCTTTAAAGGGTTAAGTTATTACATGAAATTTCATTCAACATAAGAATTTGTAGTTCACTGATTAGTGCATTTTTTTTATTTCTAATATTTGAACTATGTATTACAATCATTGTATTGTATACCTCAGGGGTCACAACAGTACTGTTGTATCTTGTGACCCTCCACTTTATATCTCTTGACAGAGATGGTAAACCTACTTTTTCTCTGATATTCAAGCAGTCTCAAACTGTAACCAATGTGCCTAAGAAGGACTAAGAACGAACAGTACGAATTTCTAATTACTATAAGAAGACAACTTATGAACATTTCATTGTTGGACAATTTCACAAATTTGTACTTTCTCATAGATCCTTACAATAAATTTCCAAAGTGAGTGAAGTTAGACAGAAAAAAAAAATACTTTCTTATATTCCACATGCATCCATGTATTTCTATGGTTGTAGGTCATAAGTTAACCTACACCACTTTGACCAAGCAAAAGAACAAAGTGCCATGTTTCCATACAGGGTTTAAATGACCCATAACGACTCAAATATATGCAAACACCTCCACTGAAAATGTATGATCATTTAAAACCAATCGTGAGCTATTTGGAAAAATGTATTAAAATTTTTATGTTTAAACTTTCAAGCCACAACTGACCAATCACTGGGCCTACCAGGTGATCTGTTGCACCCACTGGGATGAACCATTATGTGGAATGTACTACTTTGACATTTTAAAGTTAGTATATTAACCAAAAACTGACAACAAATATACAGCAATTAATAACTTATAACTATTTACTACAATTAAAAACCACTGAGAATCAGTTTGTTTATGTTTTATGGGTAAAAATGGTCTCTGCAGTCATTTTGGAGTCTAGGATGTAATTAAAAATAGGCTGTTCAACCCATTTAATGCCTATATTATGTACAACCATACATTAATTTAAACAGATGTATGATGTATAAACATGTACACAGCTTTATTAGGTAGTGCCTCATAAAAATACTTATCTGTCTTCAATGATTGTTTTGGAAAATATTGATACTGTGTTCATTTCCCTGTTGGTTCCTTGTGATCAGTATAGATTGACCTTCAACTGGTTTCTTTGCACCCCTCAGCGCACATTGTTCCCTGCCTGGACACCCTAATGAAAATGTTCTCCACTGTTCCCCCCAAATATTAAAAAAGAAATAAAAATCCACATTACTTTATCTTTTCTCTTAATGTCTAAATCCAAAGCAAAGTCTGTTCTTGACTCTTGTGATGTTGGTACTTTTCCTAAAATCAATGGTCTTCCCAAGCTGATTAAAAGTTGAGCATAGAGCACAATTTAGCAACAGTTTGTAACTGTTTCACCCACGCTTTCATTGTAAAGTGTTCATAGCTTTCTACATAGATTTCTACAGGAAATGTTATGTGGTTGCAGGGTAGTAATGGCAAATTGAAATTAAAGGATCTGAAATTTGATCAGAAGTGTATCAAATCACAACGGGGAAATCGTTCATTAGTTCATTAAGAAATTATTACATCTAAAAAAAAAAGCTGCAGAAAACACTGTTACAACTGCACAAACCTGTACTAAAGATGCACTAAAAAAGTAAACCACTTCGGTTTAATTTTGATCTTAACAGTTTTAAGGATGACCCAAAAAATACCTTTAATATATTTAAAACAATAGCAGCACAAATGATTATTTTAACTGAACGGATTTCTGCAAACACATCGAAGAGTCTGCTGCAGAACCGTGGAAAAACACAGGAGGGTCCATGGGGTCTGTTGGAACATCTGCAGGCAGAAAGGTCTGAAATTCAGTATGATGTTAAAATATTATACTTAATTAGAATAGAGGGGGAAAAATATCACTTGCTTTCATTTATTCAAAGATTATATTAAAAATAAATTCTGTTTATGACTAAACAGAAAACTGGACATACTAAAGGATGATCACAGAAGTCGAGAGGTAACAGTGCCTTGCAAAAACATCCTTGCTTCAGTTCTTTTCCCTTTCTTCAACAAAGTTAACTTCCTTTTAGGATTATATGCTACATGTCAATTCAAACTGAAAAACTCACAGAGAGAGAAAGATGCAATTAGAAGAGTTTATTGATACAATAGTTTTAACTTTGGCGCTCAGGCCTCGGCAGGAAACATAAACGCTGATTTATACTTTAATGCAGATAAACTGATGTATGAGAATAAGGATATTTCCCCCGGGCCTAAAACTGGTGGTGGAGTTTAGATAGATGAAGTTTGGTTAAACCATAGAGGCTGGTATGCAGGGTGATGCTTGAGTTAGATGTCACTGAATGAACAAGGTTGCATAAACTGTCCATGAAGAGCAAGCATGAATACCCTGCCCAGACCCGCTATCTCCTCAGGCCGGCCCTGCGTACCGGCACCAGATAAAGATTACCTATGTTTTCATTATAGCGTGGATCAGTTCACCTTTCAGAGGCTTCACCTACCCGTATATCTTCCCCAGAGTCTTAGCTGCCACAGCTTTGAACCTGTCCGGCCGGATCTCCATCCTGACGGCTCCGGGTCCGAGCGCACAGCCTCTTCTCCTTCGTGCGGCTCAGTCACATAAATAAAAAAAATATATTATTAATTGGTCATCAGCTTCGTTTAGTTAAAAGTTCCCAGGATTGTAGCTTGGAGAACTAGTTGTCCCGGCGTTTACAGGTTTCTTCTGGTTCCTTTAAAAATCAAAAACATTTTTTTAGATCCACTCCTCCTCCGGGAATCTGGACGAACTTCTTTAAATCCCGCTCGGGTTCGTAGAGGTTCGCTGAAAAAAGCACAGCGGGGCAACTTTAGTGAGGATTCATGGGTAAAAGGGTGTCTCTGGCCGTGGTCCTGAACAGGATTACAGCTGGCCGCGCGCTAATCTCCCAGAGTGTGTAGTGGAGGAGAGCATGTCACTTCCTTCCGAGCAGACTGGCTTGTTTCAGGCTATTCTGGGAGTGAATGGAGGGAGTTGGAGTAAACAGTCCGAGGGAAGCAGAATTCACAGGACAAGAATGGAAGAAGGTCCTTCAGGACGCACTGATGGCGGCGCTTTTTAGGAGACCAGAACAAACTTTAAATGGTCCATAAACGCACAAGGTCACACTATAAAGAGGGTGCCCAGAATAACAGTTAAAAATGCATTTTGTTTAAAATATAGAATAAAACAAATATATTCATTTTCAATATACACATTCTTTTTAAATATTAGGAGCTTAATTGTTTTATATGTACTTTTAATTCTTTAGTTGGATTTTTAATACTAATAAAATAAAACAATTTATAAGATTTGAAACATGTATGAAATATATAAACCCCCAAAGTATTTATTTTAAGGAACATTTATTTATTTAGAGCTGAATATATTTTGAAATAAAAATAGATGGTGTTATTTCACTCTATATTTATTTATTAATATGGAGTTAACTCTGTAATGCCAAATGTATCATATTTGATACCTTTTGCATAATTTAATGGTAAAAACTTTTCTCAAAATCCTATTGTACACAATCAGATATATCTGATAACAGAGGGCAGAAGACTACACAAAAAATAATCTTGACTTATTGCATAGTAATAAATTATTAATATCAAAAATGTTTTTCTGTTTTTTCTTTTTACACATTTTGTTAAAAGGCCAAATAAGGACTTCAAACCAAAAAAAAGTAATTTTCTGTTTTGTTTTATTCTTGGATCGGGCTTTAAAGGGTTAAGTTATTACATGAAATTTCATTCAACATAAGAATTTGTAGTTCACTGATTAGTGCATTTTTTTTATTTCTAATATTTGAACTATGTATTACAATCATTGTATTGTATACCTCAGGGGTCACAACAGTACTGTTGTATCTTGTGACCCTCCACTTTATATCTCTTGACAGAGATGGTAAACCTACTTTTTCTCTGATATTCAAGCAGTCTCAAACTGTAACCAATGTGCCTAAGAAGGACTAAGAACGAACAGTACGAATTTCTAATTACTATAAGAAGACAACTTATGAACATTTCATTGTTGGACAATTTCACAAATTTGTACTTTCTCATAGATCCTTACAATAAATTTCCAAAGTGAGTGAAGTTAGACAGAAAAAAAAAATACTTTCTTATATTCCACATGCATCCATGTATTTCTATGGTTGTAGGTCATAAGTTAACCTACACCACTTTGACCAAGCAAAAGAACAAAGTGCCATGTTTCCATACAGGGTTTAAATGACCCATAACGACTCAAATATATGCAAACACCTC